GGTGGGGTGCCCGGCCGGGGCTCAGTACGCGTGGTTGGCCACGTAGAGGGACTGCCCGGCGGCCCCCGAGTCGTCCCCGCTGCCCTCGTACTTGCCCAGCGCTGCCAGCCCGTTCACCTGCGGGGGAAGGAAAGGTCAGTGGTGATGCTGGGGTGTCACTCAAGGACCTCAAGGCACTGGGGACACAGCCTTCGGGGTCCCCCCGCTCATGGGGACCGCTGGGGAGCAAAGCCCAGGGACATGGCCCTTTACACCCATCATTCCCCTATGGGAACACAGAGCTCTCACTGTCTCCCCTCCAGAGACAGTACTGTGTCCCTTCCATGGGGACCACGGCCCTTGGCATCCCTTGTGCTAAGGGGCACAGCCTTTGGTGTTTTCTCAGCCCGTGGGACGTGATCCTCAGCCTCCCATGGGCACACAGTCCTCAGTGTTCCCAGCACGCCAGCCCTTGGCACTCCCCTCCCAGGAGGGTCACCCCCATCACCTCTGCACGCTTGACAAACTCCTCGGTGGCAGCATCAGCGTTGTCCCTCTGCCCACGCCAAGCGCTGAGCGCCGACGCCTGCAGCGCCCGCCCGTAGGAGAAGGTGAGGGCCCATGGCCGCACCAGTGGGCACGTGTTGATGGCGTTGAGGTTGATGGAAGCCTCCTCCTCACTCTGACCCCCAGATAGGAAGGTGACACCTGTGGAGAGCAGGGTTATAGCACGGGAGGGGACGCAGGTTATCGCTCTCCTGGTCTTTGCCACATGCCAGGGCTGGTACCTGGCACGGCTGGGGGCACGGTGCGGCGCAGAGCAGTGACGGTGGCCATGGCAATCTCCTCCGGGCTGTACTTGGTGGGGCAGGAGTGCCCAGGGGTCACCATGTTGGGCTTCAGCAGGGTCCCCTCCAGGTAGACGTGGTGGTCACTCAGTGCCTTGTAGACAGCTGCCAGCACCTGGGGAGGACAGGCAGCGTGCAGTGCCGTGGCATGGCACAGCACAGTGTCATGTGTCATCCTGCTGCCACCCCACCACTCACCTTCTCCGTCACATACTGGCAACGCTTGAGATCGTGGTCCCCATCAGGCAGGATCTCCGGCTCCACGATGGGCACGATGCCATTCTGCAAAGAGCAGAACAGGCAGATGCCATCACAGTGATGTCCCTGGGCATCCCTCAGCCCCATGGCTACGTGGGGCAATGCCCAGACCTGTGGGGCGATGCTCAGCCCCGAGGCTCAATGCCCCCCCTAGGCGGTGATGCCCAGCCCCATGGGATGCCCAGGCTGGGAGGGTCAGTTCTCAGTCCATGTTTGTGAGGTGCCATAGCAACACCTGGCCCCAGGGATTGACACCTGACCCTATGGGTGATGCCTGTGCCACGGGCCAATGCCCCACGTGAGCCGTTACCCAACACAGGGGTTATGTCCAGCCGCTGGGGATGATCCCCAGGGATCATCATCACTGCACAGGCGCAGTGCTGAGCCTCACAGATCTGTGTGCACCCCACGGGACAATACCTGCCCACGCAGGTCAATACCCATCCTACAGGTCACTGCCCACCCTGTGGGGCGATGGCAGTACCTGCTGGCAGATGCTGGCATAGCGGGCCAGGACGTTGGCGTTCTCCATGATGGCAAGTGCAGAGGGAGTGTGCTCGCTGATCTTCAGCACGCAGCGCCACTTCGCAAAGTCCGCCCCATCCTTCTTGTACTGGGCACAGCGCTCCCACAGCCCATCCAGACCTGTGGGGCAGCGTGTCAGCCCCACAGCCACAAACCCCACGGCCCCAAACCCCACAGCCCCTGCTACACCTACCCTGTGTGGTGGTCTCGCCATCAGTCCCAGCCAGAGGCACAACACCCTTGTCCACCTGTGGAATGTGAAGACGGCAGTGCTGAGTCTCAACAGCACCCTCCCAGCACCCTCAGCACCCCACAAACCCAGCAGGACACCCCCCACACCTTGATGCCCACAACGATGCCCTTGTCCTTAATCATCTGGACAAAGGGGGTGCCATCATCAGCCTTCTGGTACATGGTCTCGTGGAAGAAGATGACGCCCCCGATGCATTTCTTCACCCTGCTGTCGGCGCTGAAGAGGATCTGGCGGTACAGCCGGCGGTTCTCCTCCGTGTTTTCCACCCCAATCTGGTTGAGGCGCTTGGCCATGCTCCCTGCAGGCACCCAGCACCCTCGTCAGCCTTCATCCAGCTTGGGGAAAAGGTGTGGCGGGACAGATTTCCCCCCCCTACAAACTGACCTACGGACTCATCGGCTGCCAGGATGCCTTTCCCCGGGGCCACGATCCGCAGTGCGATGTCCGACAGCTCCTTCTTCTGCTCGGCCGTCAGCGCGGGGTGTTGGTGCGTCATGCTGGCGGTGGCTGCGGGCGGACGGGGACTGAGTCACGCACCACCGGGGCGACACCCCGAAAGCACACCTAGCCCCTTCCCCGGGGAGCGGGGACCCCCACGGGGCTGGCAGCCCGGCCCCACCGGGCAGGGCACGTTGTGTAAGCCTCGTGGCAGGGATCGTGGAGGATGCCGGGCAGCTCCCAGCCATTTTGGTGCCTGCCAGCCCGCCCCCAGCCCAGCCATCTTGAGGGAGCGCAGCTCCGCGGGGACCCGCGCAGGACGCGAGGGGACCGGGATGCTGCTACCCTGGGGACGGGAATACCCGCGAGGAAAAGAAACAGCGACGGGGGTACCGGGGGGGTGGGGCGGAAACACTCCGGGAACAGGGGAAATAAACACCCCAGGGAGGCACTACCTACGTCTGGAGTTAGCCGTGTTTTTGGGGTACCCCGGAGCCGGAGATACCCCACAGTCGGGAATAACCCGCGGGGAGGTTACGCGGGCCATGACGATAACACGGGGATGGGGATACCGGGGGGACGGAAATAGCCCGGGAATGGGGGACGGAGCCGCCCCAGAGCGGCACAATCCGGGGATGGAAGTACCCAAAGTTTGGGATACTCCAAGGATGGCGACAGCCCGGGGCTAGCGCCGTCGCGGGGCCGGTGATGCCCCCGGGAGCCGGGGCGCTTGATCCTCCGGCCGGCACCGTAGAAACCCGAGCTCCGCCAGCGCAGGAGGAGTATCCTGGGTCCCCCCAATCCCCCAATCCCCCCGTGCCCAGAGGTCTCTCTGCCCTGGAGCCCCCCAGCGCGGACCGACCCCCGGGATGCCGCCCGGAGACATCCTGGAGGCTCGGCGGGGCTGCCGGCTCCCGCTCCCCGGCTGCCCCCGTGGTCCCGCTGCAGCCGGCGCTGACCCCCGCCCCGGTCCCCGCGACCTGCATCGCGAACAATCAGGATTCATCATTTAAACGGGGTGGCAGCGGCAGCTCTTTAAGCCGCGTCCAAGTGCAATCACACGGGGCTTTTAAGCTTCCAGCCACCGCATCTACCCGCGGAGCAAGAGCCTCTAGGCGGGGGTCAGCTCCCTGCCGCCTCCGCCCGCAGCTTCCCCCTCCTGCTCCGGCCCGTCGCCCCCGCGCCCGGCCCCGGGCCGTACTCA